CCGAAAGAGGCGCCGCACGGGCCCGCCTCGCCGCTGGAGGCGGTGGAGGCGCCGCGCCGCGAGCGGCAGCGGGCTCGGGCTCACAGACACCTCTCTGTGTTCGCAGGGGAGCTGCGGCACATCACCAAGCTGAAGCCCTGGAGCCTCTTCGACGTGCTCGTGGAGAAGTACGGCTGGCCCCACGAGGACGCCGCGCAGTTTACGGATTTCCTCATCCCCATGCTCGAGATGGTCCCCGAGAAGCGCGCGTCGGCTGGCGAATGCCTTCGGCACCCCTGGCTCAACTCGTAGCAGCCTCTCCCGCCTGTCCCACGGAGCCAGCAGCCCCTCCAGTGCAGCGGACCCGAGCGGTGACTCTCACAAAGTCTTTAGCGGGATCACACGTGAGCTGGCTTCAATCCTCAGACCTTTATTTTGCTTGAGGTACTGTTTGACATTTTGCTTTTTGTGCACTGTGTTCTTGGGGAAGGGTAGTCTTTTTGTCTTCAGCTAGTAGTTTACTGACCCACTTTCTTCAGAAAACACTTAACGTGTCTTTAAGCATTGTTTCTTGTGTTGTGTGGCATTCAGATGTCAGGGTTTTGAACAAAAACAAAACAAAAAAAGCAACAACAAAAAAAACTTCCCCCCCATGTGTTTTGGCAAGTTTTGTAACTATTTATGAAAAAAATATTTTAGCTGATGCATATTATATAATTTACAAGCGTAAGAAATTTATCAAGTCAGGACTGAGTTATGGCGAGGAATTGTACAATTTTATCTTCCAGCAAAGGGACGTCATCCTTGTATTATAGTGTATGTAAATGCACCCTGTAAATGTTTATTTCCATTTAAATATGGGATTGGGGACTCAATTGCAGCATAAAGCTACCAAGTTTGAGAGAGCTTTATAGCAAACAAACTGCATGTAGTGGACTTTACACTGCTTTAAGGAACTGTGTAAACTTTCTATTCTGTAGCAGGTCCCGTTCATTGGATTTTAAACAAAATGGCTCTGGTTTACAGGATTTCATTCCCCAAATGGCACTTTAAAGGAAGGCTAGACTTCTTTCTAATAAAGTATGCATTAACGGTTAGCACTCCCCTTTTAGAACTTTTGCCTATTTTAAGTGCTTTTAAGAAGAAAAAAAAAAGCAATTTCCCTTACAATGTGATAGTGAAGACATGGTACCATATGGTGTTGCCTTTTTCTAAGCACTGTAAGTTGTACTATACCTTAAAAATTAAAAATGGAGCATGAGAACCACTCTCTGTGTAAAATTACTGCTGTTTTATACAAGTGCGTGCTTGGAATCAGTTGAGGAAGGATAGATGCAAGTATCGACAGTGCAGTGGGTAAAATAATCCAACAAGCAGGATCATGCTCACTCCATTCATAGCTTTACATGTTTCTAAAACAATTTGCACTAGCTTTAATTTTTTTTTCCCATAACTAGACATACGATTGATTACCCTTTGTACATTGCACGCAAGAATTAAGTGTTTCCTAGGAAAAAAAAAAAGCTACATAGACCGAGGCTTATAGGCAATACAGATCTTAGAATGTAAAATACAAGGTATATTTTGGCCTCTTTTAGAAGTCCGTGGGATGAATGTAAGCTGATTTCTGGTTTTCATGTTAACTATGGTGCCACTTTTTCTTGACTTTGTCCATACAAGACTTATTCACATGCCTTTGCAATAACTAGATTGTGAGACGATAGCCCCATGCTGTACCAATAACCGACTGTTGGAGGTGCTTGCAGTTGTCTAATTAAAGTGTTTTGTTTTTTCAGACCGTGTGCTGGTCATTGGGCTCTTTGCTCCCGGGACCTTGCAGCAGGGTGGGGGGTTTCCTGGCCTGGCCCCGGGAAGCAGCTTCCTGCGCTCGTTCGTAACGGGCTCTGCCCGGTGCCGCTCGGGAACACGAGGGCAGGCGCCCGAGTGACGAACGGGAGAGCCCCGGGGAAGTCGGGGCTGCAGCGACGCTCTGGGGGAACCCGCGTGCGAGGAAGGTGCTCCCGGCGCCCCTCTCCTCGCAGGAGCAGGCAGGGCAGGGCGCCTTTCACCTTCTCTTGCAGTGATGAGATTATGCACTGTGTGAACAAGAGGGTCGGTGCTGTCACTGAAGGGTGGAGACAGATTTTTCAGTTTGAAAACCAGGTATCCTTGCTTTTTATTAAACTCCTCTAATTGGCCACCAAGGAGGTTCTCCCTTATGCTGTACAGAACAGCGCATTCTAGTGGGTGAAGGCACCTGGGTGCTTGGCCCAGCCCCTGCCATCATAAAGGGAAGGTTTCAACATTTCTACTTCCTTTAATAAATGTTGGATATTGACAGTCAAATTGAAATGTGAAGTAGCCCCCGTTTTCCTACACCATTAGCCTGACATCAGAACAGAACAAAAAATATCCTTTTTTTTTCCCCCCCTTTTTCTCTCTCTAGGGGTTGGGAACAGCCCTTTCCTCTGCCCTGGGATTTCAGTCTCTGCTGGCAGGTTGCAGGTCGGATTTCCTGGCTGGGGCCTGCGATACGTAGCCAGGACGGCTGCGTTTCCTTAGCCCTGAGCACACGGCAGGGCCAGGGGCTAAACCTGCATCCCGAGTTAAGAGCAACCTCGCCGCAGCCCCAACCTCCCCTTGCAGGAGTAACTTACTGCTGTGCAGGTCCTTAAACTCTGTGTCCAGTCCTGGTCACAGAGCAGCACTTACCTCCTTCGTGGAGCAAAGGGATCCCTACAGGGCAGCGCGGACAGCACCCGCATTATCAAAACACTTCAGCCCATTTCCAAGGTTCCTGAAGTTGGGAGAGGCCTCGGCTACCACACCGGGCAAGAGGCCGAAGAGGAGGAGGGGACAGGACCTAATGGGTGCCGGGCGGCCAGGCCTGCAGGGCAGACCCAAGCAACCTGTGTGGGAGGGAGGCGGGGCTCAGCTGCAGGGGCCGCAGCTCTGGTGGTCTCTGCCCCTCTATTAATTTAATTAGTTGATTAATTAGGTGAGAGCCGACCTCTCAGGGACCTGACCCCCCCGCTCCGGTCTCTCGCTGGTTGTTTCTCCCTCCCTGTCCACTCAGCGGGGGAAAATAAACCCGCCACAAGCGGGGCAGCTCCAGCCCCGTGTGCGCTTTGGGCTGAGGCCCATGGACGTTTCCTGAACAGACACCACCCTCTGGGGACAAGTGGTTAAAACTGACATAATTGTGATTTATTAACATGAATTAAAATGCCCAACCAGTGCTGCAATGTGACAGTATATTAAAAAAAAATTAAAGATCATATACTGTACTACTTCCACAAAGATCACACCTTTTTTTTTCTTTTTTTTTGCAAAAGAGACTTATTATATACAATACTATATCAAATGAAAGAAGCCTTAAGCAATTTTACAAGCAAAAGAAATACAGTATTTACAGCACTTGTCAGAGACATTAGAAACAGTCTATACATTAAATTACATTTTCTGCAAATAACTGATGAAACAGAAAGCCATGACCACACCAAAACTATAAAAATCTGTATTGCATTGTTTTCTATCTCTATGCACACAAAGAACTGTTGACAGAAGAAAATGAAAAAAAAATGTTAGTGCCATCACTTAGCCTGTGTACTTACTTAATTACATATGTATTAAAGTAATATAGAAAGCATTCACTAAATGAATTTAACTGCAACAATAAATTTTTAAAGATTATGCAGCATCAAACCTACTGCCAGAAAAAACAGCTGGAATGTTCACTTACAAAATAAAAAGAAATACCTAATACTGGCTTAACAGCACGTTGTTTCAGGAATTTTAAAAAGCAAAAAATGGAAAGAATACAATGAGAGAGCACTGGTGTTTGCTTTTATACAAAGTATCATGTACAAGCTTTAAAAAGTACCTTGAACAGGTACATATGAAATATACACAGTGTATATTACAGAACCTTGTAAAAACGCTGAGGCTGGAGGGGAGGCGCCTCAGTGCCAGCCCGAGCCGTGGTAGCTGTTGGGGAAGCCGGGCGGCACCGGCGCTCTGTGCACGGGGATCTGGGCGGGCTGCGGGGCGCCCTGCGCCGCGAGCGGCA